GTAATAAAAGCCTCATTTCTTAGTCGACTACTTTCCTGCACCATGCAAGGATGAAATAGGAATTGGAGTCTGAATCTGTGATCATGACAACAGGTTGTATTGAGGCCAGCAGCGCAGCCTTGGCCGAGTGTCCAGGCTCGAGTCCCGGCAACAGACTCGGCTGTTGGCCGCTCGCCTCTGGTCGATACTACCGTGTTTTAGCGCCTCCACCCAGTCACTTGGCCACAGGCAGCCTCGGACTCGAAGGGCTGAGCGCGTCGCTAAGCCCGTCAGCAGGACGTCAGTGTGGCCTGGTCACGGGATTACGGGACGCCCGACCGCCCACGCACCCAACCAGTTAAGAGCCGGGCCTTTGAGTCCCTCCGGGTGAATGCGGCGCCCACAGGGACTGCGGGTCGATTTAGCACCATGTGTCGTGTGTGTGTGTGTGTGTGCGTCTACCAGCGCGTGGGGCAACGCTGATTCGAACTGGTCAATTGGCCTCTGTCTTGGCCGCCGGTGTCCAGACGACGCGAGGCTGGGCTCCGCCTCTCTGTCTGACTCAACTGTGCGCCCACACACGAGCCTGCACCACCCATCCACACACTTCGCCGCCCCACCACAATCCGCCCACGTTCACGGCCCCGTCAACTGAGTCTGCGCACGGCCTAATAGGGCGAGACGAGAGAAGAGCGAGACAGGCTTGTCTGGGCGGGGTGAGAAAACTAATTAAGTCCAACCAATGCCTGGCCAGGCAACTGGTAGCCTGGCTCGGCCGGTCAGCCAATCAGAGGCGCAGGCATAGTTTGTCCATATTTGATTGGTGCGCATGTCGTCGACAGACTGTGAGGCCGTGATGGCCTCTGATCAAAGGCTTGGCAGGCGATTGTCCTATTTCGCCTTGCGATTTGCATTTTTAATCCGTCAAATCCAGTCGCGTACACAACGCAAAATAGCAAAAAAACTAGGACATATCGATTTTTATGCTCGCCTCACTCAGCGTCACTCGTGCTGAACTCCCTTCCAGCCGCCTCGACATGGCGGCTGCTCTGACCGCAGACAGTCCGGCCCTCTTCTCCGCCGCCTTCGTCTGCCTCGGCAGAAGCACCGGCACCAGCGGCGGCCACGGCAGCAGCAGCAGCAGCAGCAGTAGCAGCAGCAGTAACAGCAGCAGTAACAGCAGCTGCAGCAGCAGCCTTCTCAGCAGCCCCGCTGGCAGCAACGAGCTGGCCGCCCCATGTGCACTCTTCTCGAGCCAGACGAACTGCGGTGTCTGGCCGTTTCCTCCCGCCCTCGGCCGCCCGGACACAGGCGGCATGGCAACAGTGGAGATGCGAGCAGGCCCAGTCGTCGGTCTGTCGGGCTTGCTGCGTCAGACCGCCTCCATCGCCGCCGCCGCGGCCGACACCGCCGCCCCCGTTCCCGCCCCTGCCACCTCCACCGCCGCCGCTGCCTCTTCTGCAGGTGGCGGCATCACCACTAGCAACAACGTCCACAGCCTTTCCAGTCGCCTCAGCAACGCGTCTGTGCTGCCGCCTGGCAACGAGCTGGCCCTCTGCTACGCCGATTACGCGCCGCTGGGTGCGGCCGGGGCCGTCTGCTTCGGCGGTCTGCCGATGCTGACGACGACGACGACGTCGTCGACGACGCCAGCTGGCCTGCTGCTCGTCTGTGCGGGCTGCCGCAGCGTCATCTGCGACCAGTTCTACGAAAGCGTGGCCGGACAAGCCTGGCACCCGGGCTGCCTGCGCTGCGCCGGCTGTGGCGGCCGACTACAGGGCCGTTGCTATGCCCGGAGTGGACAGCTCTTCTGCCGTGAGGACTTTGTGCGGTGAGTGGCGTCCGAGCCGATCCGATCCGACCCGACGCTCCCCGCCCCTCCTCCCCCCTTTGCACGGGTTCGCGGGCCTTCGCAACGAAGGATCTAAACGAGGCCCCTCTTTCACTATCTCTCTCTCTCTCTCTGTCTCTGTCTGTCTGTCTGTCTCTCTCTCTTACGCATTTACTCACTCCCGGCGGACGCGGCCGACAATCTCTTTTGCTTTGTGTGCGTGTGGAAATAGCGGCCCGACTGGCCATGGCAACAGGAATCGAGCTGACGCTGTGGATTGAAGCCATTCAGCTTGGCCGGTTGAGACGAGCTTGAAAAATGGCGCCGACTGCCTCGGGTATGGCCGGTCTTGCCTCCGCGACATGCTGTGGCCGCCGGACAGGCATTCTCGGTTTGGAAGTGGGCTTTTGGGGCCTAATTCCACTTAGAAGTGGGTTGACCTCGTTGTCGCAACTTGGTCTTGTTGTCAGGGCGACTTAATAGAACGCACCTAATCCGAAGTCGTCTGCCATA